TATATAGATATACATACACAAAAACGCGCGCGCGCGCACACACACACACACACACACGCGGGATACATTAAACTTTCTCAATCTTTTTGGAGGACAGGAATAGGAAGAAAAGAGCTAGGAAGAAGGCAATAGAGCACTAAGAAGTTGGTTGAACGATCGCTACTTTTCCTGATTTGCATCATTTTTATGCTCAGAGTGGCTTATTTGATTCTTCTCCCTCCTTTTATTCTCTTAACAGCTCTGTGAATTAGATTTGGTTTAGAGCTGCTCAGAAGCTCGATTTTAGGTTTACTGTACCTAGGTTTTTGTAGCAGAACCTAACCTTTACAGCAGATCAATTACCATTATTAATATCGACTTTTTAACTGCTGAGTTTACAAGATGATTCCCCAAAATAAAAGAACGGAATGAATTAAAAACTGGTATGAACAACAGGTTTTGAATCTGAACCCTGGCAAGATGGAGTGGCTTTGGGTTTGGGGCTCTTTGGTCTTAGGAGAATTACCATCTTTGGTCTTGGATGGGGTTGTACTGCCCCAGATGGACCCAGTGCATAATCTGGGGGTTTTCCTGGACTCTTGACTCCTGCTTGAGGAGCAGGTGACAATCATGGCCAGGAGGGCCTTTGCACAACTGTGAGTTGTGCGCCAGTTATGCCCATTCCTGGACCAACATGCCCTTGTCACAGTCACCCACACCCTAGTCACCTCCCATTTGGACTATTATAATGTGCTCTACAAGGGACTGCCCTTGAGTATCCAGAAACTTCAGTTGGTTCAAAATTCGGCGGCCTGCGCGGTTTTGTGCAAGCCTAGATTTGTGCCTGGGTCACCTCTTGCAAGAGCTGTATTGGTTGCCAGTTTGTTTCCAAGTCCAGTGCAAGGTGCTGGTTATCACCTTTAAAGCCCTACATGGCTTGGGGCCAGGTTATTTGAAGGACTGCCTTTCCCCGGTTACATCTACCTGGCCTACCAGAGTAGGGAGGCAGGGTATGTTCAATGAGGGAGGTACATCTAGTGGGATTGAGAAAAAGGGCCTTCTCTGTGGTGGCTCCTTCCCTATGGAATATAATTCCCCTGGAGATAAGACTTCCGGAATGCCCTGAAGATGTGGTTTTGTCAGCGGGCCTGGGGACCTCAGGCTGACACAGAGCTGATCAAATGGTTAGTCTGAGTGTGTTGGTTGCTGGGGGTGGGGGTGGGGTATTGGTTTTTGATTTATGGGTTTTAATTCTGCCCAGAGTCACTGTGTGTGAGTTGGGCGGCCATATAAATTT